AGGCTTTCCAGAGACAAGTCCCTACTTGGGAGCGGCTACGTATGCTGTGTCGGTGAGTTTACTATTTTATACTACTTCTGTGATATTACTACCACTTCTACTTCCTGTTATCTTCTTCGTCATCATCTTTGTCGCCAGTAGAAACAGCCGGTTGTTGATCACGGGACTCCTGTGATGTGAAAAAGTGTTTCTATTGCAGTTTTGTGAAAAACACCAATTTTGATACGGCCGAAAAACCACCTCATCCTCGGGCAAAARCGTTTTGTCGAAAAACTTTTTTTTCCGAAATTGACGTGTTTCCATTGAGCAAATTTATTTTAGAAATTCTAATTTGCGCATTTTCATGGTCAATGGAAACACAGCTAGTGACAGGTTGTTGAGAAAGACAGGAACTGACATTTGAACAAGAAAATCTTTTGGTTTATATTAATAAATTCAACATTTAGTAACAGGAGGATGTCTGATTTGGCTTAACATACTGTAGGTGACAACTGATCAAGTCTAATAATCATTGTTGTGTAAGAAATTGTTCAAATTAGCAGCCTGAGTAATACACAGAWAACTGATTGAATTATCAGTTATATGATTATTTTTTAGATCTAAAGATTCCATTTCACTTCAAGCCTGTGGGGCTTCAGAGTCTAAACAAAATGGCCCCAAATCACATGATCTCATAATACTTATTGAAACATTGGTCACATCCCCTGGGGTGGTTCCTTATGTCAGTACTGGAATGCCGGATTGTAAACAATTACTTTTATACTGGCAGAGTGAGGCACATACTTGTTGATCCTTTTACTTTTTAAAGTAAATGGTTACAATTTATCCCTAAGTATAAAAATATAAAATGGTATCTAAATTTCATTTAATCATTCATAAAATCAGGTGAACGCATAATTCTTCCATATTGACAGACCTGTTGGACACTGGCCTGCAGGAGATTTCCCAGATGTTCGACCAGTTCTGCGAATGTGGGCCTGTCTGTAGGGCAAGCCATCCAGCAGTCCAACATGGTCTGATATCTGATTTACAGTAATAATTTTGATCTCATTAAAAAACATTTAATGGAGCAACAACTTTGTAACGAATCATTCTGCTGTTGTTGAAAGTTTGTACTCACATTTCAGTGGTGGCGTACTCTGGAGGTCTCATCCTTGTGCCTTCTTTGAGTCTTCGGCAAAAGGACTCATCGATGCAGACTCCCGGATAGGGAGATGCCCCTGAAGAGGTTATTAAACAGTTGTAAAATGCTAAGTATGTATGTAAAATATGTTATTGATATCAAGTTTACCCAGGGAAAAGATCTCCCAAAGAAGAACCCCAAACGACCAAACATCACTTTGTGTGGTGTAAACCCGGTCAAAAATGGTTTCAGGAGCCATCCACTTCAGAGGGAGACGGGCCTATACCAACAACAAAAGTGGACATTTTATTGCGCTCCCAACTTGAAAACTTTGATCGCATGTCTTTAATTTAGTGTGGAAGACTCACATCTCCTTTGCGGACATAGTCAGGGTCTTTGTAGACATCTCTGGCAAGGCCAAAGTCACAAATCTTCACCACATTGTTCTCTGAGAGCAGGATGTTTCTGGCTGCTAAATCTCTGTGAATGCACTACAGAGGAATTTACAATCAAGAAATTAGGAGCGAGGAAGACAATAATGGTGGTATTTTCATTGCTTTTATTTACACAAAAAGCTCTTGGTAAAATACGGGGGGCACCAGGTAGGYTTACCTAACAATACCAGGCAGGTTGATTATTTTATTCATCCTCAAACTGTTAAAATTCAACTGAACAAGAGTGTGTCTAAATACAGTGAATCATTTAGCATAGTATTAATAACTAGATACCACATAGTGGTAACATAATGACCCCCGCACGCACAAATGCACCAGAACTCAGAATTCTTCATTCGTAATAAATGTCATGCTACCAGGTGCATCCCAAAATTGTAGTGGTTTGGATGGGGGGGGGGGTGTTTTGGGGGGGCATTTGTTGACCTGATGGATAGCCCTCATCAGAGCTAAACAACAAAAGAAATCTGAAACTTCTATGTTGAACAGTTTCTGAGTTATAAGCGATTTTGCATGTCCAGACACCCCCACTTTGAAAGGAGCCCCCTCCTCAAATATGGGGTCTATCATAAAACCGTTGGCTGGAGCAGTGTAGGTCAGACTCATCTACAGTCCTGACAAATCTCATGTTGACTGGTGCAGCCGTTTTTGTGCTACGGCTGACCAAAAATCACTGAAAAAATAAAATAAACGAGGAAGTAGAATTTGTTCTTTGAAAGTTTATTATAAAAATATCCAAAATCAAAGACTAAAGTCTGAGAAGAAGACCAAATGGTGGAATTTGAGGAATGAAGAATGTTGTGAGTAATTCAGAATGGGTATAGAGGCAATTGGAAGCCGCTTATGCACTGCACGGCCCGGCCCTCCCGGCTCCTAACCCGGGTTCGGTGTTTTTGCATGTCCGTTTTAGGGCCGGCTCCGGCCCGACTTCTGGAACCTGGCCAGGAGAGGTTCCAGTCGGGCCGGCCATGTACTGTACTGCTGATCATGACTGGTTTGTTTGCAGCGGGACTGGGACAGCATGGTGAGTCATCAATGCGACTGCAGCGTTCCATTGCGATTTTATTATTTGTTTTTCTCCCAAGCTCACGTTGCGTGGTCGAACGAAGAGGTAAGTTTTTTTTTACTTTCTTGCGGACGAGCGCGTCCAGATGGAGCTCGAAAGCATYACGCATAATGAGAAAGTTTTTAAGCATGCGTTGGATGTCACACCCACGTTCGAGGCGGCTCTCAGCACCGTGCGAAAAAGGCAGGGCTGGTGTAGAGCCAGGCCGGGCAATGCAGTGCGTAAGCGGCTTTTGACCCTTCAGCATTAAAGGGTATTAAAAAAAAAAGGGTAAACTATTGTATTTTAAATAAGACCTTGAGAACATACGAAGAATATGTGACTTCCTAACCTGCCAGTTGAATAGCCCTGATCTAGGGAGTTGAACTGGCGACCTTCTGATCATATGTTCATCTTCTCTAACCTCTGTGCCACCTTAACATTCTGAGGATAAAAGGGGCAGACATTATAAGATTTATTCTTCTTCTGCTACCTTTCATTTTATTTTGATTTTTTTATTTGTGTAATTTCGTTGTTTTTGTTGTATTTATCAAAAAGAAAAAATCAGTAGGTCCTCTGGATGGTTCTTCTTTAGTGAAACGTTTCATCTCTCCTCCAAGAGACTTCTTCAGTCTGATGAGTTTCAGGTGAACTCAGCCTTATAAGCTCCGCCTCCACCTGGACAAACAGGTTAGTCACATGCAAAAGAGGGCCATCGCTTAACAATAGGCCTGAAGAAGTCTCTTGGACGAGAGATGAAACGTTTCACTAAAGAAGAACCATCCAGAGGACCTACTTATTTTTTCTTTTTGATTTTTTTCTACCTGGATTACTGAGATGCATCAGGACACTTATAAGGCTGAGTTCACCTGAAACTCATCCGACTGAAGAAGTCTCTTGGAGGAGAGATGAAACGTTTCACTAAAGAAGAACCATCCAGAGGACCTACTGATTTTTTCTTTTTGATGAATTCAGGGTATTTTCTGTCAGGTATCCAGTGTCATGACCTCCTGATGGCAAAAGGAAAATTTTCTCTCTTTGAATGGGGTCAGATTGCGTCAAATTGACCCTAACAGTATCTATGTAATATGTACACTCCGGGGTGGGTGGGTTAACTTGCAAATATGTAGCATGAACCATTTACATTTTATATGTAAATTATACCTACACTACTCACAAAAAGTTAGGGATATTTGGCTTTCAGGTGAATTTTATGGAAAATGTAAAAAGTTCACGCTACAG